TTCACAGCCATACATTGCAACGGGGAAAACCATAGCCTTGACTATACATACTTTTGTTGGCAGGGTGATGTCTCTGCTTTTTAGTAGGCTGTCTAGATTTACAGATTCGTAAATTTATGATAAAAGTTATGTATAAGATATAAGATAATAAGATAGTTTTTATTATATACATGAAATCTTTAAGTTGTAAGTATGTGAGCCAGTAATGAGCATTTCCTTTTGATTTCAATTCTTTTTATAATTTTTTTAATTTTATAATTCTTTTTATAATTTTTACAATTATTGCAATTCTTTTCAATAATTCTTTTCTTATGTAAAAGTGTTCATTTGAATACTTTTTCTTTTCATGGGAACCACATTTTGATCCATTTTTATCCTCATGAAAGATATTTGCCTTGGCCTTATGATGAACCTAGATTCCTTTATGAAAGGTGCTTGCTTGGGAGAAAGGGCTGGATTTTTATACAAGAGTTATAAAAAGAAAAGAAAAGAAAAAAGAGAATACAGGATAACAAGCACAAAAAAAGATACATATAGAAAACAATGATGTAAAGTAGGCTATCTTGCTTAGCATATTCCAGGCCACACAGTCTACCCATTTTATGGAGCAGAAAACTCTTTTAGGAGCAAAATGATTTGAAATGTAAAATGCAAGGCCAATTATCTCAACAATTTACAACCCTCCTAATCTACCACAGCCAGTATTCCTCAAATATTCTCTGGAGTTTTATTTGATAGGGTTTGCCAAGGTCTTATTTGCCCATTTAAGCATTGTAAATACATACTACATCAACAATAAATACACACACTGCAGCATACCAATAATTGCAAACATAGAGTTAATACTCCAAATTTTTCACCACCACCCTGTTCTGTTATATGACTGCAGTATCAGTCCCAATATAAACTCAGTTATGTAGTTGTTCAGTGATGGAAATCTGTAAGCCTGAAATGCAGGTTGGTCTTGTTAGCATCCGTGGTGATCACCAAGAAGAGGGTCACTAAAAACTCAGGCAGGCAGTTTGGTTAGTGAAGGCTAACCAAAGTTCAATGTTGCATAGCTTTCAGCAGCTTGGAGAACTGTTCCTGAAGTGACTGCAAGTTTTCCTGATAGGTTCCTATTGAAGTCTACCAAATCTCTTTTAGTTTTGTTGACCAGCAGGAGACCAGGTTCTTGTTTCCACATGTGGGGCCAAACCTTCTCACCTGGGAGAGGGGGGTTGTTACATAGTTTGGATCAGGTGATTGGAATTCAAAACTGAAGCCACTTGACTTCCTTTCTTGATCAGACAAGAAACAAATTAACTGTTAAAAAAACCGCAAGAAAATTGACAAGTGCTGGAACTGCTTTGAGTTGTTTGACCAGCCTCAAAATCTGGTAAATTACTGCCTTGGATATCAGCCTGTTTCCACAGGGTTCAGGAAAAGGTGGAGGAAGTGTATACCTTAACTTACCAGAACCTGAAACCTTACCTTCTTTATGTTGTAATTCCACATGACCTATATTTCATGTTGGCAAATCCAAAGAGATTCCAAAAAGGTGAATTTACAATGTAAGGGATGGAAGATTTTAGATTTAATTGAACTTTATAAATCACAGGTGGTTCTTGAGCCTTATTAGATTTAATTATATACTTATACAGGGCTAAGATCAGTGGTGAGATTCAAACTCTTTTATTACCGGTTCTGTGGGTGTGGCCTGGTGGGTGTGTCTTGGTGTGCATTGCAGGGGGAAGGATACTGTAAAATCTCTATTCTCGAAGGTTACAGCAAAATCCCCATTTCTCCCGATCAGCTGGGACTTGGGAGGCAGAGAATAGATGTGGGTGGAGACAGTCAGAGGTAGTATTTACTGGTTCTCCAAACTACTCAAAATTTCTACTACTAGTTCTCCAGAACTGGTTAGAACCTGCTGAATACCACCTCTGGTTAAGATTAAGCTATTAGGCTAGCATGCCACTTCCAGGTGGAGGATATTGTCCCAGATAGCAGACACCCATACATAGATGAATGTAAATAACAGAGGCAAAAATCTAGCCTGAGCATTTCTTCAGCTGCAAGGGTATTTAATACTTTCCCATTTCTTAATAAATTTCCAGAATGAGATTTTACAAAGCTGGTAGGAAACATGAAAATGTATTTATTTTTTGCCTGCATTGCTTCCAGAGCCAAACGTATATGATCAGTGCCAAGCGGGCGAAGTCCAGAAACAGCAGACCCAGACAAAATCGTGTGGTGCTGGCTGGATGACGACTTGTCCAGATTTGATCCACTATCCAGGTTGCCTTGACTCATTCTTTGATGTATGGGCTAAGTTTGGGCACCTTGATTGAGGAATTAAAGAAATTTGTGTAGAGGATATTCCTTGTTTGCTATTATTTGTGCGGGTTAATTGGTTTAGCCTGGCCATTAATTACCAGAAGACGAAATAAATTACAGTAGTGATTTTTGTAACATGGTTTTCTAATTTTGGTCACTTGGAGTCATGTAAATGATCAAAAGGAAGATCAAAGACAGTACAAAAATAAATTTAATTTTGAATTAAAATTCTTTTCACATAATGCAAATCAGGAGTGTTGGTTGGATTTTTGTATCTCTTTTCAAAGCTGGGGGAGAGCCTGCTTGGTGAAACAAGAATATCTTATGAAAGGAAAATTATAAAATGAGACTTTTCAACTTTTTCAAAAACAATCATAGCTGTATCAATGACTTATTCCTATTATTGTCCCTATTCTACTTCAACCCTTTATTTTCTAGAAGCTCACTATAATTGTATCTTTAAAACCCTTGATCATTATAGCTATATCTCCACCTTATATTTCAATATGCTCCTGTCTCTGTTCTTCATAGGTCTCTTCTTTGTTCTTACAAAGTTCATCCTGTCTTCTACCATATTGCTCTAGTTTCCTTCTCCTCCTGTGGTGCTCCCTCCCTCTAAAAATTCTTCAGAATGTAATACATTACTCTAGTGAGCTGGTGGGAGTTGGCTCCAGCATCCCACCGGCCACAGCAATGTCCTCTTATCTTTTATGTTTTCTTCTTACCAAGAGTTGGAAGCAGGGCCTTGAAGGGAAAACTGAGATAAGGGATGTTTGAGGGTCACACAGCCAAGGTGTGTTATGTCAGTGAGGTGTCAGCAAGAAAGCAAAAGAAAAGCAAAACCGTAACTTTGAATGCTGAATCTTAATACTGTTGTGCCTTACACCAGGTCTGCTATTCTAGTTAATATTGGTCCTTCAGCTATTTTCAAATTAATATTCATAGAAAGTCAACATTTGCTGGCATTTATACTTTCACTGCAATTATTCCATGGAAGTTTGGACAGTTCCAAGACTGTACAAATTTTCAGAAGAAGGAATCATTTTAATCAAAGCTTAACTCAAGCGCCCTTCTGAAATAATATTGTATGGTAAATTAGGCACTCTACTTTTATATAGAGAGCAGAGAAGCTTCTCTATTTTGCTTCAAGCCCCTAAAAAGGAATTATCTTCATGATTCATGAGGGATTCCATCTTGGAAAAAGAGGGGTCCTCAATGCCACATAAGGAAATATATCAATGAGGCAATACATCAATGAAATACAATGAAATACATCAATGAGGCAGATTGAATGCAGTCCCCACAGGCTTTTGTATATGAGAGAAAAATTCATCGTGACTTTACTTACAACAGAAAAATAATATCTATAATAATCATTCTGATACAACAAAACTTCAAAAAGTTATATAACATTGTTCACTGAATAGTCCATAAAAAGAAAATTATACATTCAAAACAATTACAAATATTGCATTTAGGAAATATGTATGGATATGGATTATGAGAGGAAAATTCATGAATAACAAAATACAGTATATAAAGACAGTATATAAAGACTAAACATATTTTTTATTTTCTTATTCTTTCTTATTTTTATCCAATCGCTCTAATAGGGCTCTAAGTATATTTCCAGGTCGCTTCTGGTGTCTGTCTCGAAGATTTTCAAGTGCAATCTTTGCCTGTTAAATACAGAAGAAGAAGGCAGTATAAAGTCAATACTTGTTGTGATCGAAGTCACCTAGGCAATGGAGTCCTTTATTGCTCCATCGATGCCACAAGAAATGGTCACCCCACACTATCCTGAAGGCATCTCCTCTCAGTCTCCCAAACAAAAGCCAGTAAACAATAAAAAAAAGTCAAAGAGAAGGTCAAAGTGCAAGGGAAAGGTCTAGAGTCAAGGTACAAAGAAAGAGGCAAGTCCATGAGGCAAAAGGCAAATCCACAAGACAAAGGCAGGAACATGAGTCAGGAGAGCGTAAACCAAAACAAAGAATTGTTCCTGGCAAATACAATCCCCCTCCCCCAGCTTCTCTTTAACTAAGAAATGCACACCAGGTGTTCCTTTGTGAGGAGGGGCAGGGTGACATTCTCCTGAATAGCCTCTCAGCCCTCATTTGAGCTTGCCTCCCTTCTACTATCTGGGCTCTTGGATTGAGTGGAGGAGACAACTGTTCTTCATCAGAGGGGGTCTGCTGCCTCTGATGCACCACTGCCTCTCTGCAGCCAATCTTCCCCTGTGTCAGTGAGGGCAAGCAATTCTCCATCTGGTAGACCACCTCCCAATACCTGAGGGGTCTAAAATGAGATTGTCATCAGTTCCTGGACTCTCCAATCATTCCAAGGGAGATGTGTCATCCCCATCAGATGGTTCCAACTCCTCATCCCCCAAACTAGCTCTGATGAGGCCTTGACAATACTGTTTTTTTAAAAAACATACACTCACAGCTGTATTTGTAATGGAATATCATTTCACATCATCATCATAATAACAACAACAACTCTCAGCTTCAGAGGCACAGGAACTTAAATGTTGCAGATAAAGATTAAACTCATAGTGAAGCAGCAGTCATGAACCTTGTCTTCTACATCCCACTTACACACACTTTCAGACAATAGGTTGTTCTGTTGCCCTGTATTTACACTCAAATAAGTTTGCCTATTGTTTCACTGGAGTTGATCATCTTGTACCTTAACTTTCTTGTTCTGTGTCCTATATTCTGGGAGTGTAACGAATTGGTGTGTTAGCCTCCTTTAATACTGTGGTATTTCCTTTGACTTAACTTCTCAAGGATCAGTGTGCCTCCCAAGATTTAAGTTGTCAGTTTGCTGATCTTCTCTGTTTTTTCTATGCAAGCATTTATCATCTGCAAATTTTATAACCATATCTTTACGTTACAAGTCCTAGGGATGAATAAAAGCTTTGAAGTGTCCCAACCTCAAGTCAAATCCTGCAACATTGTTTCAGCAGATTCAGTGGTGAAATTCATTTTTTTTTTACTACCGGTTCTGTGGGCATGGCTTGGTGGGCATAGTGTGGGTTGGTAGATATGGCTTGGTAGGTATGGCAGGGAAAGGATCCTGCAAAATCTTCATTTCTACCCTATTCCAGGGGAATGATACTGCAAAATCTCCATTCCCACCATGCTCTGGGCCTAGCCAGAGATGGCATTTGCGAAGTTCTCCAAACTACTCAAAATTTCTGCTACTGATTCTCTGAACTACTCAAAATTTCCGCTACCAGTTCTCTAGAATCTGTCAGAATCTGCTGGATTTCAACACTGAATAGATTCAACAGTCCTGAAGGAACATTGAATGTTTTTTGAGAAAGGTTTTCATGCCAGTTTGGATTTACCTAATCTAACCACTGCTTTACTGAGCTCATAATGTGATGGGTTATGTCTTCTGAGAGCAAAACATACATCCAAGGAATTTCCATGGTTTCTCAGGAAAGTGACCACCCATAAAATAAGATAATGTTAATCTGGCAAGATTTCTTGATAATTCATACTCACTTCTAGTAATCACTGCATTACATCCAGGTTTCTTAGTGATTAATAACTTTATCGACTGATTTAGAGCCTTCCCAGATCTACCCAGGTGTTTCTATTCCTTCCCTTTTAAGATAGTAATGCAATTTTCTGTTCTCCATCAACTGGCACCATTCATATTTCAGCAGGCATACAGTAATTATCCAAGTAACAATATTTAGTAGACATTGGGGCAAAAAAATGGAAGTAGGCTTAGCAGAGGTATTGAGGGTGAGAGGGCTGAAGGGAGTGAAATGATGAAGGAAGCACTGCAGCACTGCAGTATTTAATGCATGATCCACTCTTTAGGTAGCCCATCGGGAACATATGCACACATAATTTCTCATATTTTAAGCTGCCTTTTCTTAATCATAAGGATGCAATGTATTAAGTATACACAAATGTGGTGCAACTTTCATTTTTTTTTGCTTTAGATTATTTCTGCCCCCTAATTTTACGATTACTAGTGGCAATTCCAGTGAGAGAAGAGATTGATGAATTCATGTTAAATTTAAAATATAAAAGCACTATCTCTTTGTATGCCTTGTAACTAAAGCATGTTTTGATAAAAAGCCTGTTTTTAAAAGATTGTTTTGAGTAAAAGTAAGTGTCCTTACTTTTTCAGAAAGTTCCTTAGCAGTTATATTTGGGTCATAAGGGATGGGTTCTCCAATATAGGTGCGGAATTTGACTGGAAACCCTCCGTATATGGGAAGGACAAGCAATCGAAAATGTTCGTACAGCCATTTCATTAGTCCTGAAGAAGAAATCAAATGGAAGATAAAATTAATTTGCAATGATGTAGAAATCCTCATTCACTTTTTTAAAAAAAAGTTACATTGCATCTTCTAAATTGACAAATAAATGCCCATGACTTCAGAGTTATGAAAAATTATTCTAGGGTTGAATATTCTTGCATAATCAAATAATATACCTGGAATAGTTGGAGTGCTCTGTTCCTATTCCAATCAGGGGAAGGGACTGACACAATAAAGACAAGCTTGGTAAATATCCTGTCAAGTGCAGGAATGACAGGGGTGTTTTCCCTTTCTATACAGGTAGTCCTTGACTTATAACCATTCATTTAACAACTGAATATTACAAGGATGCTGAAAAAGTAACTTATGACTAGTCCTCACACTTGTAACTGTTGTAATGTCTCGATGGTTACTTGAACAAAATTTGGATACTTGGCAACCGGGTTGCATTTACTGTATAACAATGCAAGTCACATTAGTACCATTTACAACTTTTACAGCAGGTTTTCAACTAGCAAAGTAAATGGGGAAGCCAGATTCACTTATGAACCACATTTTTTCTTAACGATTGGATGATTCACTTAATAACTGCAGCCTAAAAGGTAATAAAATTGTGTGCAATTCAATTAATCACTTAGCAATGGAAGGTCTAGTCCCAATTGTTATATGTCTGGACCAATTATAGGATAAGGAGTTTGGGTCAGTTTGTGTCATGGAAGTGTGGTTGTAAATAAACCTCCCTGTCAGCCTCTGCTTTGCTGCTGCTTCGGCTGCCATTGAAACAGGGAGGGGGGCATGGTATTTGGGAGGGGACTACTACTTGTGCTGGAGGAAGATTCTGGAGTTTCTGCTGCCTGTCTTACTGCGCATGCGGAGGAGGTTTCCCACCAAGGCCAACAGCACCGACATTCCATCTTGGTGATGCCTTTCGAAGTTATCTCACACTTGACACTTGGGAGAATTATGATTGGACTGTAACTGGGATGCCAAGGGGTGGGGAATGGGTTATTCTATATATCATTTGCTTTCGCGCCTAAATAATCAGTCTTCGCTTTGCTACACTTCTGATCATTTATAATTAGTAAAAGTACACTTGATTTCTATCAATGGAGTCTCGTGGTTTTCTTTCCTGATTATCCAATGGAGGAGTGCTGACACTCCCAGAGAAAGAAGGGATGTCCTTTAATAGCTTATTTCATAAAACACAATTTAGAGGGTAAGAAAACCTAGAAGAAATTGTTGAAAACATTCTGAAAATCTCTACCTGACTAAATTCAATGCTAAGTGAAGGAAATTTCTTTTGCAAGTTCTAAAATTCTATACTTACTCCTAATGGTAACATTAAGGACACTTTATAAAATCAGCCTAATTTCTTCGAAATTCTTGCTTTCTCGATTTTATCTAGGTCTGTGCTTCTATACATCTAATATCCCATACTTATTACTAGAGCCCATGTTGCATAGTATTATATATATATTATGCAGAATTCTGTCCCCAGGGTTCATCCTAGAATAGAGTAGAGAAGCAGGTACCAGAATTACAATGAGTCTCAGACAGGTGATGAATAGCCTTATTTATCTTTTCTATCCAATTAGATTGTTAGCCGCCTTTTACCTAATATGAAATGTACTATTTTGTTGTCATGCCAAAATAAAATTTAATTATTTAAAGAGTTATATTTTTCTCTTGGAAAGTGGAGGGAAATGGAGAATTATTCTATTTGCTTCAGGACATAAAATGCTTTTCCCATACGGAAAGGTGTTCATTGATACAAAAAGTAATATTTACATCTGATTTATTCAGTTTTGAATCACTTTATATCTCTATTGATTCACAGTAACCGCGACTTAAGAAACCTACAGGGTGAATTTCTTAAAGCAAGTTATTTAACTAGGGTTACTAAAAAATATATGGAAGCTGTAAAAAGAGTTTGAGAAAATAATTTTTAAGGAATATACAATGAATCATAGCAGGAGTTTAGAAAAAGCTTACTTGTTTTTCCAACTGTTCTATAAGCTTCACGGATATTTTGCGTAAACATGGGGATGATTGGCTAAACAGGAAGAGAGAAATATATAAAAATTGGTGTAAGTTGGGAAAGCGTTTCAATTTGTATTGGGACTTTTAACAAAATTAATTCAAGTCCATTTACCTTATTAACATTTTTTCCTGCTTTGTGCCCTTTGAAAACAAGGGTTAATATAAAGTATAACTGTTACTACAATCAATTCTATGCTGCCCCTTGTAAAACATGAACCACAAGACTCATAATTGAATCTGCAATAACAATCTCATCTGACAGTTGATTTGAAAATAATCTAATCCTTTTGTTGTGCCTTCATTTTCCAGTTCCTAAAGCTCAGTACATTTTTCATTTTTTGTACTTTCATTTTCATCATTGCTTCATTGATAACTTGGAAAGTAGTCCTCTTGGTTTTAAGAATGAAATGAAAAGACGACATTGTTTTTCTTCCACCAGTAGCTGGCAGACTTTTTTGCCTTTTGCAAATGCCAGTAAATACAGATATAAGAATCACATTCCTTTGCAACACTAAGCTTTTTACTGAGATGACTGTAATCCTGTCTTTCTTATGTCTGTTATCTCCCCTTACCTAGCTATATTCTGTTTAGCTGCTTTCCTATTTGTCAATTGTCCCATTAAATTTTCATTACCTTTATTCTATACTGTACATGACTAAGTGAGAAAGAGAAAAATATATTTCTAGTTCTTTGCCATCTATTTGGTGACTCTCTGAATACATGCTCACCATGCTAATCTGTTTTTTTTCTGAAGGTAAAAGTAACGGTTTCCCTTGTCCAGTTTGTGTGATTCTTGTCTAGTTTGTCTGATTTCTCATCTCTGTTTATTAGCCAAGGGAGCCAGTATTATCTGACGATATTTCCTTGGTCATGTGGCCAGCATGATTATACACTGAGATGTACGGAACTCTGTTACCTTCCCACCAAAGTGGTACCTATTTGTCTACTCACATTTGCATGCTTCTGAACTGCTCTCTTCAATCTTACATTCTGTGTGATTAATCAATTTTCAGTCCATGTTACTCTTAGTAATTGTCCCTAGATGTCTGAAATAACATTACCTTTTATCATCTTGTTTAAACTGGTTGTTACATTCCTAAAATAAATATGCTTTTCTTCTGGAGTGCCCTGCCCTGCCTTTATCTTTTATTGACTCAAAAAAAAAATTGACATCTAATATTGAATCTACTAATCTGATCCTGCCATTCTTATAATCCATTTGTTATAAAGGTTAAAGAGGTAATTTGTCTGTCCATTCACCTATCAGCCCCTATTTCTATTCATTTCCTATTCTGAATCATTCCATTTATATAAAGCCAGTTCTTAGATTAGTTTCTTGTTCATTGAAAAGAGCCGCCCCCATCTCCTCAGAAGAATAATCAAGTGTTCTGGTACTCCCATTCTATTTACCTTAATACATCCTCAGGTCATGATACACTTTGTTGAAATTAATGGAACAGAAATCAACTGTCTTAAATGCTCTTGTTTTCATTTTTGAAATTCAAAACAACTCAATGGTTATATTCTTTCTTTCTGGTGCTTTCATATTTGACAGACATTGTTTCTTGTGCCTCACTATTTAATCGAATGATTTTCTGTTTATTTTCTGCAGAATTTCTGTTTAAGTCACTAGAGTATGCCTGGCGATATGAGATACTGAGAAATTAATATATTAAACATGAAAACTTGTTCACTTTATGTTTTAATCTCAGACCGGGAATATATAGGTACTTTATGCCTCATTAATTTATCAATCGTTCAAAGTTATGACAATTCTGGAAAAAAAATAACTTTACAGCCCAAACTTTGCCATTTACAACTCACCTAGTGTGAAGGTCACATACCGTATTTTTCAGAGTATAAGATGCACTCCCCCCCAAAAGAGGCTGAAAATTTGGGTGCGTCTTATACTCCAAATGTAGCTTTTTGGAAGCTTTTTTCAGCCCTAATGAGGTGCTAACAAGTGAAGCGATCTTCCATCTTCCCTGCGGGCAAAGCACCAATTAGCACCTCATTAGAGCTGAAAAAAAGCTTTGAATATTTTTACTGCAGCATACTGTTGGAAAAATTTTCCAGTTCGTTCCAGCTGGGAGAAGCCGAGATTTGAAGGCTGCCTTAAGATGTACTTATTTTGTCCAGTTTCTATTTTTGGGAGATAATCCTCTCAAGGGCAAGGCAGAGAGTTCCTGTGACTATGTGATTTCGATTCTTTTGGGGATAATCCCTTTAAGGCCAAGGCAGGGATTTTTCCTATTGGCTAGCTGAGTTTTCTCAATGGTTTCCTTCAAGCAAACACTAGGCTGGTTTGTTGATTCAACTTTGTTACATTTTTACAGGTGTGAAGTGCTTTTGGCTGAATGCCCAAACAGCTAGTTAAGCTTATTAAGAGTTTCCCGGCCACCTGGGGAAAGAAAAAAAAGTGTCAAAAAGTGTTCTTTTATTATACTATTGTGTTTGCTTGCTTTTCTGGTGTTATGGGAATAAAAATGAATATCTGGTAGGCAGAATTCCCCCCCCCCCATTTTCCTCCCCAAAAACTAAGGTGCGTCTTATACTCCAAAAATACAGTAATTGCCATTGCAGTCAATGTGTATTGCCCTGTGTCTAACCTGTTTTTTAAAAAAAATAAACAATTAAAGCTATTGTCTAACATTGTGAACATGGAAATTTAACCACTTAAGGATATTCATATAG